TCACGGATTCTATGATCAGGTGCCGCGGCGCCCCCCCCTGCACAGCGCCCTGCATCGTGCCGGGCGGGAGGCTGCAAGAAGTGCCGCGTGCGTGCACAGCCCCCGAGAGAAGAGATTAAATCCAGGCTTTCCAAATCCTCACTTAACCCCCCGGTCTCATGCTGCACATACGCAGAGGCAGCAGCGTTTCCAGCCTGACGCGCTCCCGTTTTCATAGCTCCACCTACAGATCCCATCTCCAGCTCCGAAGCACGCTGGGCGCAGGGGGCCAACAGCACGGCCTCCCACTCCCACAAGAAACGCCGGCAAACCTACGGCGACACGCAAGAGCAAGCGCCGGGCTGCAGAGAAGAGCGAGGCCAAAGCCCCTGGGGTCAGCAGAGCCACCCGCTGGCTCCTTCCACACCGCCATCAGGTCACCCCCAGCCCAACCACCCTCCCGCGTCCCTAATCCAAAGGATGCTTCCAGAGGGGCGTGTTTAGTGCCAGATTTCGGTCAACCTTGCCGCAGGGTTACTGAAGTGTCCAAGAGGTTCCCCGCCACACTCATCACAAGAGGTGAGGGCGGGGGGCGAGAGGGGTCAGTCCCGGGGGACTGGGAACTGGCTCGGCCGACGTGGCAATCAAGGAAGATACAGGAGTGCAGGGAGACGGATGGTTGTGCGCATTTATTTTTGATAAAAATGGTATGCAAATTACACAGCCGTGGAGGCTCCTGGGAAAAAGATCACCCTGCTCGTCCTTGGGGCGGTTCTTGGAGTCGGTAACATTCAAACACACCAAAACGGGGGTGGGGGATGGATCTGAACTGGGAAGAACAGGAACCTCAACACTTTCCAGTGAAGCAAAAAGATCATTAACTTCTTCAGTTTGGTTTTTTTTTTGGTTTGTTTTTCCACTTTCAGAAACAGCCAACTGAGCACAAAGGTCACCAAAGCCCTGACACCGCTGCGCACGGCCTGACATCGCTCGGGCGGAAACAACGCCTTTCCAACGCCTTCTGCTGCTCCAGCGAGCCCGATCCCCCAGGGCACCCAGGCTCCCTCACGCCACCCCAGGAGCGCGAAGAGGCCAAGCTCCAAACGTCGTTTTCACGCACGTTAAGCCTCTCCCAGGAGCTGAGAGCGTGCGAGGGACGCGGGCTCAGTTCATCCAACGGAACATTAAGACAAGCGACATCAGGAGTTTCCAGGTCATTTCATTTTTCATTTTGATCTATCCCCAATAAGATGCTGGGAGAAATAACCAAACCCCAAACTTGGCTCAAGTTTTAAATATTTGCCTGAAAGGAGGGTTAGGGGAGGGGAATCATGTACAGTTAAAATCAAGCTACTCAAAACACAATCATTCAGGTAAGTAACTAGAAGTATCGCCTCTACCATCTAGAGAGAGAGAGAAGAGTGTCTGAGACAGAGGGCATATTTAGGAAAAAATACACATCTGAAGTCTCTGTGGCCACGATGAGAACTGGAATCCACATACAAGCCAGTTAAAGAGCGTTTCAACATGAAATCTTAACTTAGTAGGAAGGTCAGGGGTTAAGCTGTATCTTTTTGTTTTAAATACATGGACAGCTGTCAGATATGAAAATGATGGTGGGCTTTCCTGAAAGATCCCCCTGTGCATGTGTATGGATGCGTGTGCTGACGGCTGCGGGGCAGCATGACAAGAGTTTAGGAAGGCTGGGAGCCCAGCAGTCTCTCAATAGCTGCGTTGATGTCTCCGCCGGTGGCAATAAGCGCCTGGAGGTTGGCCTCGCGATTAATGAAGCCCATGGCGTTCAGCTGCTCCAGCTGCTGTTGGAATCGCACTTCAGGACTCTGCGCCTGCAGAGGACAAAGACCCGAGAGTCAGACAGCAGGGATCTACACCCAGCACGGGCCGGGCCGAGCGGCGGCCCCGAGCTCAGCGTTAGGCCTCCCGAAATACTCCAGGCTCATTTGGTGACGTTACCCGCCTCCCCGATGCTTTGGCACCGCAGCCACGCCGCACAGACAGTCCGAGGTCTGTGCCTGCGGGGAGAGCAGCGCTGGGAGGAGCATCCCTGGCACTCTTGGCTTCAAACCTGCGCAAAGGGTTCCTACGCCCCCAAGAACTGCCCAGCCTGGGACACTGAACTCGGCATAAAGCACCGTAGCCAAGAGAATCCGGTTGGGAACCACATCCCTGGAGTGGGGTGGGATCGGGAGCATCTCTCCTCACCCTGGAGATGTCCCTCCCCAGACACGTATCAGCGTGCAGCTGGGAATTACATACTTGAGAGCTTCCTCCGGCCAGCAGCTGGATCATCTGCTGCATGAGCTGCTGCTGGGGGTTACCACCCCCACCTGGAGAGGCACTGGCCGGCGTCGAAGCGGAGGGAACAGGGTTCTCCGGGATTGTGCTTCCTCCTGTGGAGGACGGGGGCATTCGAGGCATGCCGAAGGAGCCGAGGCTGCAGAGGAAGGCAGGGCATGCTCAGAGGCAAGCTGGCACACCTGGGTGTCCCCCGAGAGCTGGGCAGCAGGGGAACCAGCCGGCACTCACCGCAGGGCAGCTTCGGCACCGGCCGCGTTTGTACCCCGGTCACACGCGATGCTGGCAACACGCAGACCTGATGGAGGCGCAGGTCGGAAAGGAACTGCCCAGCCCGAACACGACCCATGCTGCGGGCGAGCAGAAGGCCCGAGGGTTGCCCCAGTGTGCCCACCCAACCTCGCAGCTCATGCTGTGCTCCAGAGACAAAACTCTTGAGGACAGCCCATACCGAATACCGCTAACAAAAGATGGGGGTGGGACCAAGTGGTTTCCAGGCCTTTTCTCCCAAAAGAAAGGGTCAAGGACATCCCACGTGAAGTACACACAAGCGCAGTGCTAATTAGCTGGAGCTCGGAGGCCTGCAGGCACACACCAGCAGAAGGCCCCACGACAGAGGGCCCCGAGCAGATCCCGATGAATCAACAGCTAGTCTGCCTGCTGCTACCAAGCGTGTCGGCTCTGCCTGCAGAAACCCACCGTAAGGCGCTTATTACCTTGGCACTAGTCCTGGGGCCTCCGTTTGCAGCGTCTGGAGTCCTTGCTGGATCTGGAGGAGCGCCTGCATGGCGCGGGGGTTGGTGAGAATGGAGAGGGAGTCTGGGTTCTGCATCTGGGAACAAAGGCAGAAGACACAGCGGTACCAAACAGCGAGAGCTCTGGCGGCCAGAGATCCACCAGCTTTAACCGTGACCATCCGTCAGCACGGAGCTGCGCCTCCCGCTGCAAGCCGGGCTCGAGTCTCCAGACTGCAGGGCTCAGCCACAGACACCCAGGGTTTAGCTCAGGTTTCCTCAATGAACTAGGTGACTCAGACTGAACTGGGGGCACATGCCCTTGGAATCAGAGCGCTCTTATTCGATTTACCTGAGTGAACCAGCTGCTCTAGCACAATTAGCTGGTTTAATTTTGTAACTCATTACGGTGAGAGACTGTCCACACAGGGGTTTCGTGTAGCTTAACTACTCTAACGTGAGGTCCACCTTGTGGTAATTCAGATTACTTCATTTAGATGAATTGCCTAAACCAGCTCTTCCCTTCCCTCTCCCCTTTCCTTCGCAGCCCAAACCCCCCAGCCCGTGTTTCCTAGGCCACCTGACCAAGCGGCCGAGATACTCCCTTTCCTACGGAGGATGGAGGAGCTCTGGAGCCCAGGGCTGAGAGCAGCACAGGGCCAGACAGGGGCCTTTACCTGCTGCAGGAAGACAGGGAGCTGAAGGCGGAGCTGTTCTTGAAGCTGTGGATTCCCAGCAAAGAGGGGGACATTTACCATGATCTAGCAAGAGACAGCACACGTAGGTCGGGTCAGAGGGTTGCTGCCACTGGCTGTTAAACCCTACGTAGCTAAGCCACGAAGAACACATCAGTTGTGCCCCTGACTCCCTCCCTGGGTTTGCAACGTCCCCCGTTAACGGGGATTGGAGCAGGACAGCCCAATTCCTGGCAGCAGTGTTGAACAGGGGCCACTTGGCCACGGGCAAAGAGAAGGGCCATTCCCTTGTCCCTGTGAAAGCCACCCTGTTTTGTTGGGGGCTCTGCTAAGACACAGGGGTCAGTACTCTGACTGCCTTCAAGCTGCTGAGAAATACAACAAAACTGCGTTCACTCAGCTCCCCGGTTTCTGCATGCGGAACCGCTCCAACTACACAAGCGTCTCACGAGCACCGTGCTCACGGCCTGTCTGACGAGACAACTGCAACACTTTTACCTGTGCTGCAAAGTCTGGGTTCTGGGCAAGAGTTTGCATCATGCTCCGCATGTAGGGGGCGGAGATCATGTTCTGCATCAGCTGAGGGTTTTCCGAAATCTGCTGCAGGAGGCCTTGCATCTCTGGGCTGTTAAACATGCCTGGAAAGGGAAGAGAAAACAAAGGAAAAGCCCTTACAAGCCTGAGCACTGCTGCAGCGTGACATGTAACAGCAATGCTTTACCTCACCCCCGGCCAACAGGGAGTACTGCTGTAGACAGCCATGGTAGTGCTTTGCTTGCCACTCTCCCATGCTCTCGAGGGACAGGAGAATTCCCAAAGTAACCCAGAAATAACCCCTCTGCGCTTGCAACTTGGGCCAGAATCTGAACAGAAATGCCAGAGGGAACCTCCCTCTGAGGAAGCCTGGGTGACCTGTTCAGCGAGTAGCAGCCCCTGGTTCCTCTCTTGCTTACGTACCAGCCCCAATGCTGGCAGCATTCAGCCCGAAGGGGTTGGATACAGTCGGCGTGCTTTGGGTCGTTGCCGAGCCAGTGCTCCCTTCACTGCTGGGCGCCTGGCTCTGGGAAGCAGGGGGTGTGGGACTCCAGGGGTTCGGTAACGGCTCTCTGTTCTCCGTCCGCAAAGGCTGAGAGCTTGAGCTCTCAGAATTCCCCGTCAAGGAAGAGAAAGGATTGTTGCCAAACTAGGGAAGAAGAAATAAAAGAAATAGCTGTAATCAGTTAGCCCCAGCAGAGAATGTGAGATGAACCCCACCACAGCACGGCCTAAGGAACAGCCAATCGTATTCATCCAGGTCCAGAATTTGCTAAACACATGCCCTAAATTGCCCCCTGAGAAATTCGTAATCCACAACACACCTCGCTCAGAAACAGACCAGGCTCACGAAGCGGCCACAGCCCTAGCTTTGGCTCCCAAATGCAGGGCTTCCAGCATCCGGACATACCAGTAGGTAATGCTAGACTGGAGTATGTCTGCGCAGCCTTTTGCAGACAGACCTGTGCTCACTCCTCCTGTGCTTCAAGCCAGCTGGATCTCAGCCAGCTCCAATCCCAAGGCGTCAGGCTTGAGCTAATACAGTAAGCCGGGCTGAGAGCAAAGGGCTGTGCTAACGAAGGTCTGGGGCCTTCACATCGGCGATGGCTGGCATCCAGCTTGCCTGGAGACCAAAGGAGTGAGGGCAGGCCTCTCAGATACACCAAGCCATGGAATAAAAGCAGATGACAGGCACTGCACAACGTTCTCCTGCACTCACTGTCTGCATTCATCATCTAGAGCGGCAAGGGATGAAGAGCCACGCTTGGGGAAGGCTGCCCCGTTAGCACGGGGTCAGGGGAAGACCCCTCTCCCGTGCTTGGCACGCTACACCCCACTTACAGGATCGCAGCCAATACCTGCTCCCGGGCTGCACTAAACATGGGCTCCTGGATGTCCGTGTACATTCGGCGCAGGGCGTTGTATCCTCCTGGAATGCTCTCGAGGTTACTCAAAGCACGGTCCTGGTTCCGCATCATCTCCTGCATCATGGCAGGGTTACGAGCCAATTCCATTGTCTGAGAGAAGGGGGAAAACATGGAAAGCTCAGGCCCATGTGCACCACGGAAGCCTGGAGTAGATCAAGAGCCCAGTGGTATTCACCTGATCAACCAGCCAAGCACTGAAAGAGTTAAACCTCAGCTCCCAGAAGAAAGAGTATAATTAAACCCGTTTCACAGCCAGAGAGCAGAGAGATCATTTATCCAGGCAAAGAGAGCCCAGGGATCCTGGCTCCTCCCATCCTTGCTCAGCTGTCTTCCTTCGCAACCTCAATTCAGCTGGATGAGGTTGTTTTGTTTCTAAGCAGTATCAGGACATCCAAACATTTAACACCCATATGTTCCCACTCAAAGGAGATGGACTGCATTCAAAAACTGAGAAGGTGGAAGAGATTGGATCCTTCCCATTTCAAGAAAACCAAGAAATTCACCCTCTCCAGACTTCTGGTGGCTCTCCCCTGCCCAGGGAACATCCAGATCTCATTGGAGGAGCTGCTTAAATATGGATCATTCACAGTTTGGTCCTGCTGCTCCATAATTTCACGTATGAGCAACACAGTGGAAAGCAAGCTCACCGAGAAGCAGATGGAAACTAGGCTCATTCAGCAACAACCCAGAAAGACCTCCTGACAAGTCTTCCTGGGGAACAGCAGAGTCCTGTCAAGGGCCATTTAACACTGGGGCTCTCACTCATCCCTTATGCTTCCCTTCCGATGAACCTCCGGTCTTCCAGACAGAACAGCGCCCTAGGCTGGGATTGTACAGAAAATCCTGCCCTACAACTAGTGCTCTCGGCTGACACAGGTAGTAAAATATTGCCTGCACAGCCCTGTTGTCTATACCTAATCTATCCAGAGAAACAGAGAGAAACAAAAAGCTTTTGCAGTAGCCTCACTGCCCCGTGACTGCTTTTACTCCCATTTCTGAACCAGAACACAGCAGCCTTGTATGCAGTGCACTAGAACGATCCCAGCATCCTTTTTTGCCCGACACATGATGGATTCAATAGCCCTGAACGGGAGGTAAGAGCTGCGAGTATGTGGGCTGAGTAATCAGCATTCAGATAACTCAAGACCACCATCTGTTTGTGGGGAGCTTACAGCAGGGAGAGATCTCTGAAATCACCGATCTGGCATTCGCACACTCCCGCTGCAGAGCAGACACTGAAGCTGGTCCACAAAGATGCTCTTGAACGTGCTTCGAACAGGCCCCGGCGTGCTGACTCACCTGCCTCATAAGCTCCGGGTTATTCAGCATGTGGCTTATCTCTGGATTCCGCTCCATGAGCTGCTGCATCTGGGGATTGGCCATGATCATCTGTCTCATGAGGTCAGGGTTAGACATCATGTTCTGCACCAAGGGATTCTCCATGATCTGAGAAAGCATCTCCGGGTTGGACATCAGCTGCCGCTGCATCTGCTGCTGGAGCTCCATGAAGTTGGCAGAACCCATCCCAAGGTTGCCTAGCCCAGTGATGCCGCCAAAGCCAGCTGGAGGGGGAACAACACACAGGGAGAGAGGCGTGAGTCAGTAACTGTCAGCAGCTGCAAAAAGAGGACAAGCACATCAGCTGAACTGCACCCACAATAATCCAGGGGTATCCTATATTCCTATGGCGGCCAGGAGGGAGGGCACCCCCTACACACACTTCACTAAGGGCTTTGGCATCATCCTGCGCAGGGAATGCTGGTGCAGACGACTCCTGCAAAGCCTACAGCAAGCAGAGACAACTGCAGGGGCCAAGAACTCCAATTCCTCGATCTAATCCCAGGAAATTCTTCTTTTGTGTCACACGTCTCGCAGCCATCACTTACACAGGATGGATGTAGCACTATTAGGGCCTCCATCTCCAGAGCCTCCCATGGTCCCTGACCCGCTGCTCCGTCTGCTGCCGTTCCCCGCGTCGGAAACGGTGCTGCTGGATGTGGAAGGCTGAGATGGGGCAGCAGGAGAAGAAGGGGTTGCAGTGGGGGCAGAAGCAGCATTGGGGGCAGAAGCAGCAGATGTTGAATCTTGGACCCTGCAAAGAAACAACAGAAGGTGTTAAACTCCAGAGATTCAGGAACGGTGAGCTGAGTCCTCTGGGGGGGACACAGGACGGTGCACCCCACACTGACCGAGCCTCCCCTCATGCCTCTTGTCCCCACAGCAGCCAGCCCTGGCTGCTTCCATTCCTGCCTCCACAGCTGTGCTCCCAGATGCCTTCCATCTGTTGGAATCTGCCTCCCATCCTGACGCAGAACAGCCCCTGACGTTTTATCCTGGCCCACACGAAGTGGCTTGACTGGTACCCCGACTGCACCTAGCTCTTCCTTGAGTCATGCTGAACTATTTACCTCAGCTATATCCTTGAGCAACGAGTTTGCTCCAAACAGGAAAATCCTCCTGCTGCTCCCGCAGAAACCACAGGAGGTAACAGCAGGGCTAGTGCACAGGGTAAAGAAGAATCTGCTTTTCTGCAAATCCTCCCATGCCCTGAATATTCCCATCAGCGCTCCTGGGGGCAAAAATAAGTATCAGCATTACTCTACAGCTAGGGAAACTGAGGTACGAGGCAGCTAGCATCTGTCCCATGAAGCTACAGGATGCTTCTGGGCAGTTGAACTCACATCTCTGATGCTGGCTGTACCTCACAAGGCTAATCAACACTGGTTGATTAGAGCTTCTCTCATACTCACAGGTAGATACTGTGCGATAAGACCCGGCGACGCTGGACTTGACTTCATTCAGTAAACCAACCCAAACCTTGCAATCAAAATTCCTCCTTGGGATTTTTACAGTAATTTGAAAGAGACTGTTTAACGATTCTCTGAAGCATCTGCAGCCATGACAGTGCTGGACTAGTGCTGAAGAGCTTTCACAGGAAATCAGATCACAAAATTCACTTTACTGGCCTCAAATAAGAAATGCTATTATGCCACTGGCACAAGAACAACGATTTCTTGATTATTCCCTCCTCCAAACCAAGAATGATTCCTTTCTCTAACTCCCTTTTTCACTCTTCTGCTAGGACTTTAGAAATCCACCCTGAGGGTCCTTGTCCACTCTCCAGACTCACCTGACTGCTGCTGAAAACCAGAAAGGGAGGAAACAAAGCAAATAGGAAGCTGAACAAAAAAGGAAGAAGGAAGCTGTAGAAAGGTCACTTGGTTTCTCTCAGCACAGGAAGAGGCTGTCGTGTCTTCAGTAAGCACTTATCTATGACCATTTGCGGGGAAAAAAAATTAGCAACCCAGGGCAGCGCTCTCATTTACGCTTTGAAATGGGTCACAAGCACCAGGGTTTGCTGTGGAGACAATGGTAAACAGCGCCAGCCCATCAGGCTACCTGGAGATGCAGAATCCAGAGCCAGGCCTCCCGCAGCAGCTGACAATACACATGCTTGTCTTTGTGAAAAAGAGGGGAAGAAAGAAAAAGAAGGACTAATCTGGACTAAGTCAGTAAGGCAGCTCTCCCAGGGGACAGCAGAATGCAGCCCCAAGAGCCCGACCCACTGCAGCAGGGAGCCCAGGAACAGCTGCGGAGGGGGTTTCGAGATCAACAAGACATGGCTGTGCCTAAGAACTGTTCCCAAGAACTTCTGTGCCCATCACTCCACTGGAAAGCACTGGGAAAAGCCTAACCCTGAGGACCCCGTGGTCAATCCTGCATCCCTTTCTCAGGCTGAGCTATGTGGTAAGCTGTGTCCAAACCGGGAGCTACCACGGGGGGCACCCGCAGCACTGTACTTGAGCTCACCACCACACTGCCACGGGCACGTGGTGCACTGCCTGAGCCTCCGCGCATTCCCACCAAGGCAGAGCAGCCCCCTCCCATACAGGCATGCCTATAGGTACCCCAGGGAAACACTGTTCTGCCCTACAGATAATGCTCTGCACGCACTGTGCACCTCCCACAGCACGCGAGAGCACAAGCACAGGCTGAGTGCAGAGTGTGTGATAGGCAGTGAAAGAAAAACTGGGCATTGCTTTCAACTTCAACACAAATTCATTGTGAAAGTCATTTCTGTTAAAGGCAGCTTGTATTTCTTGGAACTAGTATCAAATTCCAACAGGTTCTTTCAAGATCACTAAACTATAAAGGCTCAAAATGCACAAGGCCACATATACAAGTTGTGTTAAAGAAGAGTCAACCCCCTCAGGTACATGCTACCAGCTTACACAGCTGCGTAACCTAGGGAAAAGACTGCCTGAGGGATAAACCCCACGCCTGCACGGCAAAGCCGTGGTAACGAGAGAGCCTGGGAGAGTTCTCCTGCTGGATCACCGCTGCCGGACTCGCACACGCCCCAGCACCAGCACCCAGGCTCGCACAAGCACCCCGCTTCCGTCACCACCAGAGCGCTCCACCGCCAGTCACTCACACCCTCCATTCACCCTCAGCCCACCAGGACGAGAGTTTCTTACTTCTGCGGAGTCTTAATGACCAAGTGGACAGTCAGCCCATCTTTGATCCCATGTTGATTCAACGTGTCTCCATCCTTCAGGATCTTCCCAGCAAAGATCAGAACCAGCTGATCCTGTTTGGCTTTAAACCGCCTGGAAATCTCTTCTTTGAACTGAAAAACAAACAAAGCATTTTTCAGGCAAAGGACCCAGACCAGAAATTTAAAACTAATACTCCAGATTATCATTTCCACTATGCAAGCAGCATAAGGGACTGACCGTCCTTCAGAACCTCACCCAAAAGGAGCCCATGCAGGCACCGATTCAGTCACCAGTTGCTGAGGCTGCCTGAGGCGTTAAGGGAAACAAGGACAAAGACGAGCTGCGCACTCACAAAACGTGAAGTCAGAAAGAACAGAGCGATTACCTCAAGAGCTGAAGGCTTCCAAAGCAAGATCAAGTGTGTCTCTTAGGTCTAATCCAAAGACACCATCGATCCTCTGAATGACTGAACTGGTTTTGTCTCTGCTCATTTTTTTCCTAAGGAAAGCCCAGCTCTGATTTAATACAGGACAGAGCTCTATGGAAAAGGGAACAATCCTTTATCAGCCAATGGAAATAAACTAGGTCTTCTCCAACTCCTGCTTCTGCGACTGAATTCCCTACGAGACGCCACGCAACACGGACACCTCTCCTCTACTGTGCGATGGGGCAGGATTAACACTTGCCAGTAAGACTGTCATTGCTAGCCCGGCTGGGGCATTCCCAAGATGACTTGCGAGGATAAAAAGCCTTGCATTTGGAAGCCACAAACTACAGGAAATCCAGAGGGAAAGGGCAGGATGGAAAACGGAAAGCCAAGCACACACCTGTCCTGGAGGAGCTCGCAGCCTTCACACCAGAACCCCCAAAGACAACGCCCGGGACAGCGCAGCCCTGAGCCCCAGGTCATCCCGGGCACAAAGCTTCGTGCCCTCCTCCGCACAAAGCCATCACTCAACACCCTGCTTACAGCAACGGGCTCGTGGGAGCCGACCGGGAAGGAGCAGGAGGGCCACACGTCCTACAGCCCCTGCCTACCCCACGACTCTGCTCCCCACAGATGTCCGCCAGCTCCTTCCCACCGCAACCTCGTGCCTTACACCCCAGATCAAAGCGCGCAGCAAGCCAAGAAGGCGAGAGCGATGCCAATGGCACC